TTAAAGAAACAATCATGTTGGTTTTGTTGGTGTTCAGTGAATAGTTGGGAGCCGTGGGGATGCAGCTGTCCTGTCTCCCCTCTCTACCATGGTGTTACCCAAACTGGAGCCTTTGCACAGGCTGACCTCCATGGAGCCCGTCAGAGCTTAAGCTAGTTCATGGAGACCTTGGAAGGTTGAGTTTTGAAGAGCTCCACGCCCCTTGCTCTACAGCAGTTTGTCCCCTGACCTCATTGCCGCCCACAGCGCCACAGCATAGAGGCAGTCCCAGGAAGGCCCAGGTGTACGGGATGAGGATTGCCACCACAGATGCCCGTCTCTTCAGCCTTCACTAAGATGCCAGGGCTGTGGTACTGGTGAGGAACCCCTGCCATGCAGCTGGGGCGCAGGTCCTTCCTGCTGGGAGGTGCTGTAGACAGCTGGATTCTGAGTGAGAGTTAAGATGTCTTCTGTTCTTAGGTTCTTTGGGGCTAGCAGAGCCCTGCCACCGTCAGTCAGTGCTTGATAAGTAGAGAAAAATGTCCTTGAAACCCCCTGGCTGGTGGTGGCACCAGGGTTTCTGACCCCAGGCTTGTTGCCCACTCGCTACCTCGTCTGCCTCGTCTACAGGGCAGGCTGGCCCCTGCTTCCAGAGTGGAGACTCGAAGCATTTAACAAGCCCACTCATTGTCTGTCTTTTTTTCTTAGCTTGAGAAGAGTGACTGTCCCATCTTTGGCCCTTGTCTTTATACCTCTGGACATTCGGGGAGCCTGGCGACGGGAGGCTATGCTCCGGGCACCCTGCTCTCAGTTCCCTCACAGGGTCTGCACTGGACTTGGGAAAAACAGGTCCCGGGGAGGACTGGAGGTGGTCGTGGCTGGGAGTTTGAGCTAGTGTGGACCATGCTGATGTTTGCAGTAGCCTGGTCTGTTACCCTCTGAGAGCCACGCAGAGGGTAGGAGTCATCTTGATCTGAGTTTTTCTCTTTTTTCATTTTGCCACAAGACAGAATTGTATCACACATCTCCAAAACGAGTAAAATGGCATTTCAGCTTCTTGTCTTTATAGACTCTCTGAACTTTAGGAAAGATCATTCTGGTCCTTTTTTCATTAATAATGAAAACTAGGGGGCAATAAAATGTTCTTAGTGTGAGCATGGCAGGAGCGCGCAGTGAGGGTGAAGGGTGAGGCTGCAGGACCACAGGTGTTTCTCAGGGCTGCAGGAGCGCAGAGCTCTGGAGAGTGGGCCAGCTGTTGGAGGTTCCTGGTCCTCATCCCACACGCCAGCATCTGCTCAGCCTCGGCAGCCCAAAGGGCCCCCGAGAAGGCTGCACTTCTCATGGTGGGATGTTTGCAGGCAAGCAGAGGAATCCAGCAAACTCCAGGGACTGGTCAAGTTTTCAGCCCAGTCACGGCTGCTCTCTTGCCAGAGGCTTCATGGTATCTGAGAAGTGAATACGGTATTTGGGCCGTGGGCCCCATTCTGCACTTGTTCTGCCTGAGGATTTGGCCTCCACACAGGGATGTTCCGAGCATGGATGAAAGCCCTCCTGCGCAGGGACTCAGAGAGAGCGGAGAGAACCAGTCGCTTTGTCTTCAGCTTTTTCTCCTGAAAATGAACTTGCACTAGATGTTACGTTTTGCATCTGGGGTGCAGAGCAAAGCTGGCAGAAGCGGGGAGACAGAAGAGACAACTGATTGGGACTCCCAGTGCCCGGCTCCTTGGGGTCAGGGTGAAAGGTCCGTCTACTTCGGTGGTCTCAGATCTCCTTGTGTAACGAGGGTGGTTCGTGTCGGGTGGGGGTAGCCCCCATCAGGCGAAGCAGCGCTGTTCCCTTCCCATGGCCGTTTCTCAGACACCAAGTGTCACTGCACCGCCTGGGAAGGGAGTGGGGAAGTCCTTGCCAACCATCACACAAATCCCTGAACCCATAAAAGAATAGATTGATAAATTTGTATAGAAACCTCTGCATGCTACAAAACATTAGCAGAGTCAAAAGAAAAATCAACCAGAGATGTTTGCGATGCAGTTCACAGACAACAGGCTAATATCCCTGCTCCATAAAAGTCTCTCTAAAGTAACAAGGGAAAAGAAATCAAGTAGAAAAGTGGAGAGCATACAGTACATCGAAAAGGAAATGCTGATGGAAACGTGCTCAGTCCTCACTCAAAATGAGATCAATGCAAATTAGAACCAGAGTGAACTTCTGCTTTCCTGCTGTGGTACTGGCAGGAATCTCTGCGTTTGAGTCGTGCGTTGTGTGGGTGCAGCCGTGGGGAAGCAGGCATCGTGCAGGGGCTGAGGGTGAATTATTGGCCCCATGGAGGCAGCGTGGCAGCATTTTTCAAAACTGCAAATGCCCAGGCCCTGGGACCAGCCTCTGGGAGTTCTGAGGTTCACGGGTGCGCACGTCCCCGGTGGGAGATGGCACGTGTGCATGTTGTTGATGGCAGCGTGGTGTGCAGTAGTAGAAAGTTGGAAATTAGCTGAATGCCCGTCAGAGGGCAGGTGACGTGAAATATCCTGCAGCTGTAGATAACAAGATTGAGAGATGTGGAAATGCGAAGGAAGAGAAGACCTCCTGTGCCACCTCAGACGTGCGCACAAACTCTCCGGAAGGATAAATGTAAGACTACTGATGGCTGTCGGTGGTGGAGAGGCCTTTTTGTCATGGACTGACCTGTGCTATTTGACGTGTAAACTGTATGCGTGTTACCGATTCAAAAAGTGTAAAACAGAAATGGGAGTTGGGGACTGAGGGAGAGCCATATGTTGATTACAGTTTTGGGACCGAGATTCCAGGCCTAGGACATATTGGGGAATCTGGCGTGGAATCTGCAGGCAGGGAGGGAGTGTGGTGGCCAAGAAGAGACTCCAGGCTCCTCCAGCCCTGTCCTCTCTGCCCTCTGAGAGCACCGTTCAGCAGCTCCGGGGGAAGGGTGTCTCTTGTCCACTCAGAGGTCTTTGCAACTTGGATCCTCCTGGTTGGCTGTGTGCCGGCAGCCACATCGTGCCCTGAACTGAAAGAAAGAACGGACTCTCTCCTCCCCTCTGGTCATGAAACACCAGGGCATGGTAGGTGCCTCTGAAACTTACAGGCACAGGTGAGAAGTGGGGGCAGAAATCTCTCAAGCAGCAAGAGCTTCGCTGGGCCACATTGACGCTCCATCTGAGAGTTCAGAACACTGCTGTTCTTCCCTCTCCCCCTTCCTCCCGAGTGAGCAGCGCACCGCAGGGCTCCTTCCGGATAGCTCTCCACTGGCGCTGTGATTGCCTTCCCCACTGGTCTGTGTCCCACCCACGCCCCTCCTGATGGCAGATCTCTCGGTGGGAGGCAGAGCACCCACCAGGTGGCCTGGAGATGGCTGCTCCAGAAAAGTGTTCACAGTGGAGACAGGGCCCTCCTGTGTGCCTCAGAGGATCAGATGAGGTGTGGACATGGGAGCACTTTGTGAATGGTACTCGGGAAAGTGTAAAGGTGGAAACTCCCCCCTGTCAACTGGAATTGCATTCAGGAAGGCCATTCCAAAGAGAACCGGGCCCAGGCACAGTGCTGTGTGCCTGTAGTCCAGCTGCTTGGGAGGCTGAGGTGAGAGGATTCCTCGAGTCCAGGAGTTTGCTGATGGGGAGAGGATTCCTTGAGTCCAGGAGCTCTGGGCTGCAGTGTGCTGTGCACACGGGGTGTGCGCTAAGTACTGTATCAATATGGGTGACCTGGAGCAGGGACCACCAGGTTCTCTAAGGAGGTCGGAAATGGAGCCAGTCCAAACTCCCATTCTGATCAGCAGTGGGACATGCCTATAAATCAACACTGCACTCCAGCCTGGGCACCATAGCAAGAGCTCAGCTCTAAAAAGATTAATTAATACAAGTAACGAGAACGCGACCAGGTGCTCCCCTCCGTGCAGACTGGCTCTCTCCACAGCAGCAGCTAGGTGGTCTCCTAGGACAGTGCTCTACTCCCTTCCTGCCCTCTGTGCTGGTCCCAGTCCCTCTCCACCTCCGTGGACCCTTGCTGCAGCCTTACCCCAGCTGTCCTGCCTCTGTGGCCCCCACTTCTGGCCACCCTCAGGGCCACCCCAGTGCTGCTCTCCAGGGCCATGGCTACACCCTGACTACCGTTGCTCATGGAAGAATATTCAGCTTCCTTGACCACATGGCCCACCTGGCCCCACCTTTCCCTCGTTCCTGCCCCACCCCAGCCTCCACTGCACCTGCAGCTTCCCTGGCTCCTGTCTACTCTCCCCAGCACTCTGCTCTTGGGGTCCTCTGGGCCACCGCAGCGCTCTTCTTCCATCAGGCCCAGGGTGCTCACCTGGTCTGCACCCACCTAGCGTCTCCCCTCTGCGCTTGCTCCCCTCCAGCCCCCAAGGGCCTCGGGATTCCTCCAAGGCCCTGCGCCCCCCACCACTCCCATCCCTTTGTGATAGTTGTTCTCACTCTCTGAAGTCTTGCTTGGTCATTTGGAGACTTGTGTTTTCTCTTCCCTGGCTCCAAGTGAGACAGGGCCGGGAGGTTTAGTTTACCACAGTCCACCCTGGTGCCCCCAACCAGTGTACCACAGTACTCCTCCCCACTTCGCTGAGGCCCTGCTTGGTTCTGCTATGGCCCCCAGCTATCGCAGGGCTTATGTGGGTGTATTTATGCTCTCCCAAATGTACTCACATTATCCTCTCTGGATCTTGTTTCTGAGGTAGAGACCATGCCGTTGGTCTTCATATCACCTCTGCCACCTGACTCCCCAGTCAGAGCTCAGCTCACTGCTAGATACCTCACCTACAGCCTGCCATCAGGGTTGGGTGACTGGCATCCTGTGTGTTCCAGTTGAGGCAGTGGGTGCAGGAGGGGACAGAGCCGAGCTGCTGCTGTGATGATCATGTGTTGCCTTCCTGCAGCAGAGTGTCCTACTGGCTGATCATTGGAGGCAAAGAGACTATGTCACTGAGGCCCGTGTGCCAGTCCCCACCCAGGGAAGGATGCCATCTGCCCTTTCTACCCCTCCTCCTCTTCCACCCGCAGGCCCCGCAGGCTCCCGATGGCGAGATTACGGCGCCCTGGCCATCATCATGGCAGGCATTGCATTTGGCTTTCACCAACTCTACAAGGTGAGTCTCCCAACGGCTGTGGGTGCTGTGCGCCTGCTGCCCTGTGGCATTCAACCCCCTTTCACTGGTTCCTGGGTGGAGGCACTGCCGTGCTCCACCCTGGAGCTGCTTGGCAGTGAGTGGCTGTGGTAGAGGTTGGGGTTCACGGCTGGATCGAGGTCCTGCCCCCCTTTTCTCCAGTGCTCAGCATGCGCCACCCAGTTCTCTGCTTGCAGTGGCATTGTCAGGTTGTCCCTTGCCAGCCTGCGCCAGCCACTTAGAGTAGTGCCCACACAGGAAAGCTGTGCGAGAAGTTTTGAGAGACAGAAATACATAATGGCAAAGAGTATGGACGCTGGGCCAGCTGCTGCTGATCCCCGCCCCTGGCCCTCACGAGCTTGGTGAGCACAGGCTCTGGTCTCATCTGTAAGATGGGGATAACAGTCCCCACCTCACGAGGTTGTTGTGAAGACCCGGAGAGTCACTCCCTTGTAGAGGCTCAGAGCCATGCCTGGCACTTGGAAGTGCTTTATATACCATTGTCCCACGTGGCATTTAAAAGCAGCAGAAACTCTGTCTCTATCAAAAAAATACAAAAATTAGCTGGGCATGGTGGTGTGCATCTGTAGTCCCAGCTATACTTGGGAGGCTGAGGTGGGAGCATCACTTGGGCTTGGGAGGCAGAGGTTGCAGAGAACTGAGACCACGCTACTGCACATCAGCCTGGTTGGCAGAGGGAGACCCTGTCTCAATTTCAAAAACAAAACAACCTAGGCACAGTGGCTCATGCCTGTAATCCCAGAACTTTGGGAGGCGGAGGTGGGCAGATCACTTGAGGTCAGGACTTTGAGATCAGTGTGGCCAACAAGTGAAATCCTGCCTCTACTGAAAATACAAAAATTAGCCAGTGTCATGGCATGTACCTGTAATCCCATCCACTCAGGAGGCAGAGGCAGGAGAATCGCTTGAACTCAAGAGGCAGAGGTTGCAGCAAGCCCGCAGTGAGCCAAGATTGTGCCACTGCACTCCAGCCTGGGTGATGGAGCGAGACTCTGTCTCAAACAAACAAACAATCAAAACAGAACAAAAACACATTCTGGGATCTGGAACTTCTCTGAACTGGTGTCCCCTTCAAATTGCTGACTGCATACAAGCACCAAGAAGAATGCGACACTAATGCAGAATCCTCAAATGAATGCCTGGCTGTACTGAGCCTTAGGCACTGTCGCATGGCCACCTCTGGAGGGCCTGTGGCCTGACGGGATCGGGAGGGCTGCTTGCAGCTCACCTTGGTGTGCGCGCTCACCGGAGCTGCCACCCCTAGTTTCTACGAAGCTCTGGCCTCTCTGCTCTGCTTTAAAAAAGAAAAGAAACACTGCAATATCAGTCATAATGGTAACAAGAGAATTTCTAAAACATCTGCTCAGTTTCTTGAAATAAAAAAAAAAAAAAATGGTAAGAAGCTCTCATCTTGCTTTAGAGGCATGTGAAGACTTCGGCTCGGGCAGCGTGTCTGCTCCTTCCCTTAGGACTTCTGAGCTCAGAAATGGAGTGTTTAGTTGGTTACAGACGCACACATGAGAATTTTTTTTTTTTTTTTTGAGACAGAATCTAACTACGTTGCCCATGCTGGAGTGCAGTGGCGCTCTATCTCGGCTCACTGCAACCTCCGCCTCCTGGGTTCAAGTGGTTCTCTTGCCTCAGCTTCCCGAGTAGCTGGGATTACAGGTGTCCACCACCATGCCTGGCTAATTTTTATATTTTTAGTAGAGATGGGGTTTTGCTGGGTTGGCCAGGCTGTTCTTGAACTCCTGACCTCATGATCCACCCGCCTTGGCCTCCCAAAGTGCTGGGATTACAAGTGTGAGCCACCACACCCACCTGAGAATTCTTTACCTTTCATACTGAGGACATTTCATCCTGAAGTGTAGGGCTACTTATGATGAGTTTTGGCTCAGTTGTGGGTAATAGCTCACGCTGTGGTTGAAAAGCACTTTGCAAAATAGAAAATGCGTCTATACATGTGCTACTGAAGAGTGATCTTCACTTAGGAGTCACTCTGGAAATGAGTTCCCACAAACCCCTAGCAAGAGACCTTCTTTTCCTTTCCCCGTACACAAACTGTAATGGAGAAGTTTCCAACCTCTTTCCTATCTGGGCCCAGATAGATTAAGAACTGGAATTTCTCCCTGGGCGGCTCCTGCCAGGCCTGTGCCGCGTTGCCTTTGGCAGTGCCCATTGAAGTGGGCAGCCGGTCTCACTCTCCTCACCTGGGGAGCTTTGTTTTCACGTCCTGAGTAGCTGGATGTCAGTGCACACGTTCCTACATGCAGCTGTCCCTGCAGGACCCGCCACCCACCTCCATCCTCCACACCCTCACCTCCACCCTCCACACCCTCACCTCCAAGGCAACCAAGAGCAGCTGTTGCCAGCCATGCCCTGCTCGCCTCCTTCCTGAACTGCCCCCTAGCGTCCCTGGTTCTAGGCCCCTGTGAGGGATGGCCCTGTTTCTTTTTCACCAGAGCCAGTTTCTTCTGGTCCTGTGCCCTCCTCTCCCTCTGCCCTGTATTTCAGTTCTGGGAAACTCAACTTCTTTTGACTCTTACATGAAGGAAGTGTGTTCCGAGGATTCAGGCTTAATTCAGAAAAAAACGGACGTGACCTCTTCCAGCAGCCCCAGAGCACTCATGTTATCCCCTGGTGAGAGAACCAAGGGTCCCCGAAATGTGGTGGTGCTGTTCCTTTAGTTTCTCCAGTAGTTTTTTGTTGATTAATTTTACTCGTTTGTTTCCGAATAGGTGATTCATTCACAGGTTCAAAATATTCACAATCTAGGAGAATGTGCCTGGAAGAGCTCCCCCGCCTCCTCCGTCTCCCGGAGGCTCCTGCGGTGTCTGTTGCTCGTGTGTCCATCTACAGTTATAGCTTACAACTTTGACAGTAGAGTTTAAAACTTGGTGTTACAGAAATAGTTTAGCATCATTAAGAAAAGTAAATAAAGGACTCAGAAAGTTCCCATCACAGCAGTTCCAGTTGACTCTCCCTGTCCGCGTTTCCTCCTGGTCCTTGTCCTTATTCAGGCAGAATTTTTACGTGGTTGTAACTGCAGTCTCATAACTTTTTCAAATATCTTGTTCATTTATGGTGTTTGCTTAGTGTTTCCAAAACTGGGGGTGACAGGGAGAAAGCTGGGCGGCAGAATTAGAGAGACAGTTGGAGGATAACCCTGGGTCCGTATGCATTCCTCGCCCTGTCCTGCGTCTTGCAGAAATACCTGCTCCCCCTCATCCTGGGCGGCCGAGAGGACAGGAAGCAGCTGGAGAGGATGGAGGCCAGTCTCTCTGAGCTGAGTGGCAGCGTGGCCCAGACAGGTAAAGATTAATGACTCCATCAAGTCACCCCTCACAGCCTTCTCCAGGCAGCCCCTTCTCGGCCCCTCCCTTCTCCCTCCGTCTCCACTCTATGTGGTGACTTCATTTATCTGCTCTGAGAATCTGTTCACATTTGCAAATGAAGCCGCCGTCATTTCGGTTTAATTTGAAATTGCTTGTTTACTGTCGGCGTGGCCTCAATTAATTATGTTTTTACGGAAAGGCTCCCAACCTCAGAATATTAATAAGGGGAATAAAATGACAGCCTTTCTAAGGGCTGTAAAGTTCATTTTTAATTTCTGCTTCTCTGAGGTTTTCAGGGGGGTTTTCAGTGATTTTCCCCCTTCCCTCTAAGACTCCACTGTGGGGTCAAGAGAGTCTGTAATTACTGTGGCTCCCGGGACCCCGGCCACCTCCCCTGTTATCGACTCAACAGGGCTCACATTCATTACCCGGTGCCCCAGCGATGGCCCAGATTAGCTGGGACCTGTCTCGCCAGAGGTGGCTTCTCTTCTTTATAAACTTGTTTACTAGACAGCAGCTCCGAATCTAAAAACCAGAGCGAGGCCAATGAGAGAGCCACCTGTCCCAGGCAGGAGTCTGTATCCCTCTGAGGCACGTTTGTGAAGCTCACAGAAACCCTCTGATGTGTCCGCCCTGCTGGCATCTGCTCCTGCAAAGCTGACATTGGTGGCAACAAGGCCCCAAGGGGTCACAGGACACCGGGGAGTTGAGCAGGCAGCCTGGGGTCGGGTGGGGAGGGCAGGAAGGAGCAGTGGGAAACAAGACTTGAGCCACTCCTGGATGTGAATGTGGTGGGGACCCAAGATGCGTCTCTCCCAGGATTGGAGTCTCCAGGAATCTCACAAGGACACTGAGGCCCAGGAGATGAAGGACGCAGGCGCTAGAGAAGCCGAGAGAGCTCAGCAAATCATAGCCAGCTCTAATTAGAGGGGAGAGGTTCTGGACGGATATACTGTTGACCATGGACAACTGCACAATGGAAAGATAAAGTGGAAATACTAGAGGTTAGATACAGTGCAGGCGGATCACCCAGAGTGCAGATAAATTAGATGGATTGCGGGGGCTGGGGGCGCCTGCAGATAAATTAGATGGAGCCGGAACACGGGCAGCTCCTAGGTGTGCGGACCGCACTCGGGGAACGTCTGCGCCTGTGAATTTACCAGCATCGTGACTGCTTTCTCCTCACAGTGACTCAGTTACAAACCACGCTCACCTCTGTCCAGGAGCTGCTGATTCAGCAGCAGCAGAAGATCCAGGAGCTCGCCCATGAACTGGCTGCTGCCAAGGTACCTGTCTCTGCCCCGAAGGGCCCTCCAGGCCCAGGTCTGCCCCACATGCCCCTCACTCTTGTCCCTTGGGCCCAGCTTGCCACCTTCGGGAGCTGGGCTTCGTCCCCGTCTCACGGTGGTTACACGGCTGCAGCCGATGCTGCTCTGTCTCTCCTCATAGAGACAGGAGGCCAATTCTGGGCAGTCAGTGTGACATTTAACCGTCGAGGCCATCCTTTCTCTCTCTCTGTCACCTCCCAGCAGGAGGAAGGAAAAGCCACCCGCTGCCTGTGGACATCGCATGGCAGCCATATCCCCGCAGCTCTGGAGGCTTTCTGTGTAGGTGCGGGACAGCCTCCACCCATAAGTTAGTTTGCAGGTCACAGCATGGCCAAAAGGGGTTCTGGAACAGACAAGGAGAAGCGAGTTGCATTCAGTTCATCAGCACCAGCCCCGTCCACACTGCAGTGCAGTGGGCAGGTTCTCTAGACTCGGGTTTCACGGGTTCCTGCAACCCTAGGGAGCCACGGCCAACTCCCGAGGCACTGTCTACGCCTCACCGCCCAAGTCCAGGGTCAGGCTGCTTAGGTTATGATCCTGGTCCTGCCACTTGTTAGCTGTGTGGCCACAGGCAAGTTACTTAACCTCTCTGAGTCTTAGTTTCCTCATCTGTAAAATGGAGCCATAATGGTATCTGCTTCGTGGGGCTGTTCACGGTCTCTGAAGTGTGCCCGGCTCCAGCTGGCTCGCAGGATTGCAGGCCTGGGTTCTCCGGGTGGGTAACAGGGGCCATCCCGGAGGCGGTGTCAGACAGATGGGGCCTAGGAGACAGTGGCCTGCTGGCTCCACAATACCCACCGGCTCCTCTCTCTGCCCCTTGCCCCACAGCTCCGTGACCTGCAGGCACTGCTTCCTAGCTGCTCCCACCGCCCAGGCTCTGGAGAGTCCCATCCCGAGTTGCTCACCCAAGGAGAGCCACTCCCAGTGCATGGCTAGGCTTGAGCCAGTGCTCAAATCTTTTGCATTTGTAAAACCCACTAAAATGGCAATCTGCATTTTCCATGGAGTCTGGGGTGTCTCTTGTGAGAGGGTCCCAGGAATCTCCCTCCAGACATCCAACTCACACACAGCGGTGCCGCCTGCCCTGGCTCCTGGGGAGGCTTCGGGTGCTGGTGGCCACTTCCAGCCACCGTGCAATGCCTGTTCTCGGAGGGTGGCCGGTCCATAAAGCACCAGGAAACCTAGCGCTGGGCCTGCCTGCTCTCCTGGGTCAGGTCATCTTTGGGGTCTGTGGTCTGCCTATGGCCAGAAGCCATTCCGGAAATTGGAAAACTGTTTTCAGGCCTTACGCATGAGATTAAGACCACATGTTGTGTTGAAGAAGAAGCGGGGGGCCTGGGATGTGCTTGGCGATGAGGGGGGTTGGGCCCTCAGAGGTCCTCTGGCTGGCTCTGCTGCCGCTGTCCCTGGCCCGCCCCAGCCTTCTCTCCCAAGCTGCAGTGGCCACCGGCTTGGCATCTAAACTCGTATGTGTGAGGACTTCGGTTACTCCATAAACCAAAGACCCGGAGCTGTGTTTTCTCAGCTGTAATGTATGTTTTTATATCTGGCTTCCAAACTCCTACTGGAGCACTGTAAAAAATTAAAAAGAAGAGCTTTAAGTAATTAAAAAACCTACATAAAACTGAAGGCTATGAGTTTTCTACAACTGTTTTTTAAAGAGACTGGCTAAAAAGCCCCAGATGTCAGATTTTATTTCTAAATCCTGGCATCTGGCAGCATATGCGTTTGGAAATCTGAGTCCTTTGTAGGCCGGTGAGTGGAAATTGCTCCCTTGTTAATGGGCTGCTGTAGCTTTCAAGGTCTCAGAGAAGCCAGAACAGTGGCTCCTGGGTCCTCCCCGTCTGGTGGTCTGGAGTGGGAACCCTGAGGGGCTGTGTCAGAGGGTGGCGGGTGGGTGACATACACTCACTGTCAGACTGGACTGCCCAGGTTTTCCTTCCTGAGACCTATAGGCCCTCCGAGGGACTTCTCCCTGCAAAGACGTGCCAGCTGGGCTGCTTGCTGGGGCGACCCACAGCAGCCTCCACCCCATGTCAGGCGCCAGGCCTCCATAAGCCAGCCCCGCAGCCTGCAGCTGGGAACCGCCATGGAACGTCCCCTCTGCCTGCCTCAGGGGAGCAGTGTCACGAGAGCTGAAATATTAATCTGTGCACTGAGAGAGAGAGACAACCTGGGCTGGCCTTCGGCCTGGGCAAGCTGGGCCTCACACGGAGGCCTCGTGGAATTGTCCTCTGTGCACATGCCACCAGCAGGTGGCTGCCGGCAGCTCCTATCTGGGGACCTCTGGTCTGGTGTCCCCTTTCCCGTCTATACCAGCAAGATTTGCCAGAAGTCAGATGTAGTTCTGTGAAGTTTATTTGGAAAACTGTGTTACGCCCAAAGGGGAAGGGTGTGCGTGGAAGGACGGGGTTTGTCGGAGACGGTGGCTGTTTGGTCTTTCCACCCCGGGCCATCTTCAGTCCCAGACATCACAGCACTCACACTGCACCCGCACGCCTCTGCGAGTCTCAAAAAGATGCCACAACACCATGACGTCACCTAAAAACATGTAATGATTCCTTAAGTCATCAGATGTCCAAACGGAGTCGTGGGAGTGTTTAAGGATGTCGTCATCCGAACAGAGATGTGGCAGGCAGTGGCAGAACCTTCCCCCAGGCTCCCCAGAACAGACAGGGTGCCCCGCCTGCTGCCCCTGCGCAGGTCCGCCGGCAGCCGCAGGCCCCGCCCACGCCACCAGGGGCCCACCCTGAGCCTTACTCCCTGTGCTCTGTTTTCAGGCCACCACATCCACCAACTGGATCCTGGAGTCCCAGAATATCAACGAACTCAAGTCCGAAATTAACTCCTTGAAAGGGCTTCTTTTGAATCGGTAGGAGGCGGGGACGGGCGCCCAGTTCGGGTCGGGCCTGGAAACGGGGACTGGGAGCTCCGGGGCTTGTCTGAGGCGTGGGAGGGGCGTGGCCCCCAACCCTGCCCCTAAGGATGCCATCTGTCTGGGTGACTCCGGCACTGGGTTTGGGACCTTTTGAGGTTCTATTTTCCTTCCCCTGTTGACCCCCACTCCACTCCAGGGGTGACGGTCTGTGCCACAAGAGTTTTGAAATACGCAGTTTCCAGACCTGTCAAGACCCGGTCAGGGACAGCTTGAGCCAAAAAGCAGGGCCCTTGGAGCAGAGGAGAACCTTCTGGGTGGCTCCTCCTCCTCCCTGAGCCCCAGGTGACCACTCAGTGACAGGTTTGTCCCAGGGAAAGTCCCTTTAGGGGTGGGGGAGTCTCCGCGCTTTGTACTTGGAAGGGTTCCATGACTGAAGACGTGGGCAGAAGCAGGCCCGGCCCTCCCAGCTTCTTGGTTGTCCCCCTGTTGTCCCTCGGCAATGACAGCACGTGGTCACCAGTGCAGCCTCGGAGGTAGGGTGACCAACTTGTTCTGCTTTGCCTGGGATTGTCCTGGTTTATTTTTATTTATTTATTTATTTTGAGACAGAGTCTCCCTCTGTTGCCCAGGCTGCAGTGCAGTGGCACGACCTTGGCTCACTGCAACCTCTGCCTCCCAGGTTCAAGCGATCTCCTGCCTCAGCCTCTTAAGTAGCTGGGACTACAGGCGCCCACCAGCCCGCCCAGCTAATTTTTTGTATTTTTAGTAGAGGTGGGATTTTGCAATGTTGATCATGCTGGTGTTGAACGCCTGACCTCAGGTGATCCACTCGCCTTGGCCTCCGAAAGTGCTGGGATGACAGGTGTGAGCCACCACGCCCGGCCTGTTCTGGTTTTTTAAAACTGAAAGTCCAGTGTCCAGGAGCCACTCTGTCCTGGGAGCCTCGACGGCGGGCCGCCCTCCTGGGCTGATGCCCTGGGGTGGGGAGGCCTTGTGTGGGGCATCCTTGTTTCCTTGCTGGGCTGGGTTTGGTGGTTGCTGGGTGAGTGGCGTGGTACTGGGGAGGCTCTTCACTAGGGTCTGGGATGGGGTTTGGAGGGTTCTTGCTGCTTCAGCCAGAAGACCCCATTTTCCAAGCAACTTCCTGGTGCTCCCTGAGGAAAAAAAGCATTTCCTGGAGGAGGCGTGGCCACTCAGAGAGGGGCCAGTGTATTGTCATTAGGAGAGACCCTCCGTTTCCCTAACCTGGATCAGTGCCTGAAGGCTGGGGATGCAGGGCAGGCGGCGGGTGACCGTGGAGCCGAGAACGCTGCACGTGGAATGTCTTGTTAGCGTTTAGGATGCTGATGAATAAAGCAGGCCATGGTGTGTGCCCTACTCAAGCGGGGTCTGAGGCCCCTGCTGGGAGGACAGGCTATGGGCCGGGCTTTGTCCTGGCTCAGGCAGAGATGGGCTGGCCTGTTGGAGAGCTCTGTCTCTGAGCCGTTGTCAAGTGGACCTGACCTCCAGGTCCCTCCTGGAATTGGCTTTAGTCTGGGCTGGCTGCTGGCCCAGGAAGGGAATACGGAACAGAAGGGAGAGCTGTCTCCTCCCTGTTGAAAGTGTTGAGCTCAGAGGTTTTCTAGCAAAGGGCACCACCACGGCCCTTTTGTTTCTGATGTGTCTGACCCCCCGACAATGGCCAGCAGCCCCTGCCTCTACCTTTTGCTCAGGCCATAGACAAATTGGGACTGTGGCTCAGGTGTCTGGAGTCCCCAGTCTTAGCCCTTTTAGGCTTCTCTCCACCCTGTCCCTCTCTTGGCCACTGGAGTGGAGGCAGGGATGGTGCTGAGGCTCAGGAGGAAGCAGGCTCCTGCGTGCCAGGCAGGCCCCACCTGGCTTCCAGCAGCTGTCCAGGCAGGTGGGCCTCGCCCAGGGCGGGTGTCCTGGGGGACCCTGGGCTGTCTATGGGGGCACAGGGCACTCCTGGCATCTATCTCAACTATAGGATCTCCAGCCGGCCAGGACACTTTGCTCCTGAAAAGAGGGGAAGGAGGGCTCTGTCCTGTCCCTTGCCAGGTGGCCCTGGAGAAGCAGCTCACTGTCTTTGAGCCCTTGGGGATGAGGGAAGGTGTAACCCTTTGAGGGAAGGAGTTTTGACTGCCGCCACCAACCTTTCCTGCTTCTCCCGCCAGGCGGCAATTCCCTCCGTCCCCGTCAGCCCCGAAGATCCCCTCCTGGCAGATCCCAGTCAAGTCGCCATCACCCTCCAGCCCTGCGGCCGTGAACCACCACAGCAGCAGCGACATCTCACCTGTCAGCAACGAGTCCACGTCGTCGTCGCCTGGGAAGGAGGGCCACAGCCCCGAGGGCTCCACAGTCACCTACCACCTGCTGGGCCCCCAGGAGGAAGGCGAGGGGGTGGTGGACGTCAAGGGCCAGGTTCGGATGGAGGTGCAGGGCGAGGAGGAGAAGAGGGAGGACAAGGAGGACGAGGAGGACGAGGAGGACGACGACGTGAGCCACGTGGATGAGGAGGACTGCCTGGGGGTGCAGAGGGAGGACCGCCGGGGCGGGGACGGGCAGATCAACGAGCAGGTGGAGAAGCTGCGGCGGCCCGAGGGCGCCAGCAATGAGAGCGAGCGGGACTAGGGCCACGCCCGCCTCCAGCCCCGAGGATGGCGTCCAGTGTGCCGGTGCGTGCCCACACCCTGCCTCCCGCTCTGGTCCTGGGAGGGCAGCTTGGAGCCCAGGTAGGGGACAAAGCTGTCCTCAGCTGCACTGCAGCATGGCGGCAGCATGGAAAGTCACATTTCTGTCCACCTGGCCTCCTCTCGCCTGGCCACTAGCCCCAGCCCCAGCCCCAGCCCCAGCGGCCTTCGGCTTTGATCTCAAGTCAGGCCGAAGGCAGTGAAGCCTCAGGGCTCAAACCCCTGCCCAGCCCCCTCTCCCGGACAGATGCCGTGTCCAGGGTGTGTGTGCTGAGTGTCTTGACTACCGTGACACCACGCATGGCCAGAGCTAGTGTCCCTACTCCCTCCTGACGCCTCAGTGGAGGAGGCGCCGAGGTCCCTCTGGTGTCTGCCGTCCCCTGTCTCCCTGGGCCCAGCCCTGGACCCCTCAGGTGCCTGTCCCCAGCCCCAGCTCCCCCCGTGCCCCGTCGTCCTCCCAGACAAATGAAACCATGCTGCGCTTCTGATGCCCTCGCTTGCCGTGTAATGGTTCAGCTAATCCCATGGCGAGACGGGCGCTCAGTCCCTCGGAGGAGCCAGGCACGGGGCCTGACCAACAGCCAGCTCTGTCCTTCCCCCCAAGAAACACATGTTCATTTGTGTGATCATGTATAGACCTCAGAACGGAAGATGGGACTGTATATAATTTTAATAAATACCACTTGCCACTATTTAATTTCTGCCTGTGGCTCCCTGTCTCCTCGCGGCACCCAGGCCCTGGGCCGTCTCAGCGCAGGCTGCAGCGGGTGAAGTGTGGGTGAGGGCCCATGGGCAGCTCCCCAAGGCGGTTTCTACGCTGCTCAGCCAGAAGCAGAGGGCCTTGTTCCTCGTCCAGTGGCTGCCGGAGGGTGACACTTTGCTGACTGCAGGAGGAACAGGGACCTGACTGTATATAGACCTTATTCGGCGTGAGGAGCCCTCCTCCCTAAAATGGGCGAATTGCCTCCCGGGGAGGGAGTGTGGCGTCCTCTGTCTCCCCGTCCCCTCCGGCTCTTGCCCTCCCAGTCCCGCTTTCTACTTCACAGGGCATTTGGCTAACAACAGAAGAGCAGAGCCACGCGCTTCTCGGTGGGTGCTCCCGTTCCCTCCAGCCCCCAAGGGTCAGGACCAGGCTGGTGGGCCGCAGATGCCGTGATGTCCATGTGCCTGTGTGGACACACCGGCTTTGGAAATAGGAAGTCCTGGGGAGCCCTGCGGGTGGGGCCTCCATGCACCCGCCCCGTCCTGGGGAGGGAGGAGGCCACGCAGTTGGGCTGAGACTTGACTTAGGGGCTGTTTTGTCCCAGAAGTTTTGCTTTCAGCCCCTGTAGCAAACCCTTAAGGCTGGGACCACAGGGCCCGCTGAAGTGATGGGTCCCCAGGCCTGGGCCACCTCCACCCACTGGAGGGTCCCCAGGCCCAGGCCACCCCTACCCTCTGGAGGGTCCAGCCCCAGTCTGGTTTTTGGCCTGCAGGGTTGTGTCTTTCATGCTTGTCACCTCGAAGGACACTCCTGCAGCTCCTGTTTCCAGCCATGTGTTCCCCGGGGACAAGCAGAGCCCAGTTCCCAGTCACACTGGCTTGTTCTCCCTTTTTCCTGGCCTCCTTACCGTGCCTGAAGAAGCATGTGTCTCAGTTCCTAGGGGCTGCCACGCTCGCCTGGACGAGGGGGTCCTGCCTGCCAGGCCCCAAGAGTCCCCGTGTCTGGGAGCAGACAGGTGGGCCAGGCCTCGGCCAGCCCTGGGGACAGTGACTGCCCATTCTCCCCCTGGGCCCTGCTGTGCTGCAGACCTGCATGGTGGGCGCGTCGGTTCCCAAGGAGTCCCGACCCCTGACCCCCTGCCACTTGCTGTCCATTGGCCTTTGTAACTTTTTAGAGGTCCCGCCCAGAGACCAGAGGGCAGGTACTCTGGGAGGGAAGGGAAGTCAGGGCTGTGGAGTCGGTGCCGTGGAAGTGAAGTGCCAGCTCCCCGGCTCCATTTCTCCCTGGAGAGCTGGGGCCACCAAGAGAGGGATTCCCTGGGGCTTCACTGTCCCTGGGGTGGGGGCAATGGAGGCCTCAGGGGGTGAGCACTCTCCAGCCTGGGGGGTCAGCAGGCGGGCACATCCCTGAGGCTCTAGTGCGGAGGAGAGAGACAGAAACCTGGGCCGGGAGGCCTTTCGCCCCTGTTGGTCCTGAGCACCGAATTCGGCTTTTGAGGACAGAGAGTCTGGCGTGATTTCAGGGAGAGAAAAACCCCTCCCCAAAACGGCAGGAGTGCTGCCTAATAAAGTCAGCTGCTGGACCAGGGAAAACAGCCCTTTGAAAAAAAAGCCTTTCATTAGAAAAATAATGCATTTCATCCAAATAAGGTAAAAATATTCGGAATGGGGCAGAAGTGAGCAGCAGGCAGCGCCTGTCAGGCCCTTTCTGGAAGGGAGAAGATTATTAAACTCAATTACAATGTATTTTTATAGTGTCTTTTAGGAAGGAACCAGCCCCGTGCTCGGAGTCCGAGGGACAGCCACCCTGACCTCACCCGGAGCAGCTCGCTCGTTCCTGGGGTCTGTCTCTGCCCCTCCGGTGACTTGCTGGTTCTGCCTTGGGCAGGAGCATCTTGTTTGGGAGGACAGGGGACCTCCCTTGATGTTTGCCACACGGGGGAGCAGGCCAAGAGGCAGGGGAGTTGCCTTCGGGGGATGGTAGGGTCTCTGCCGCTAGGGGCTGCCCCATCCTTCAAAAGCCAGGGCTCTCAGAGCCAGCCCTGTCCCAGGACCCTCTCTGGGACAGGGAGAGCCTGGGTCAGTGGAAGGGGCTGCTGAGTTTGTACCCACAGGTGAGGTATGTAGCAAACCTGACTCGAACAGAAGGGACAGAGATGAGAGATGCGAGAAGCCACCACCTGCCCATCGGCTCCCTGTGTGCCCAGAGTCTCTTTCCTTCTTTCTTTCTGTTTCTAATAAAACACATCTGAGCAAGCTGTGTTCATCTTTCAGGGCCCTCCCACCCAGGTAGAGGTGGGAGAATTTTCTAGAAGTTTTCGTTTCTGCCCTCCGTACTTCAACCCAGCCTGAAGCACAGAAGGCACTGGGGCTCCGGCCTGGGCCCAGACCCCTCCCTCTCTGGGCGACCAACCTGCCGCTGCCCCAGAGCACAAGCAAGGGGCCATTCTCCAAGGGTCAGACAGCTCCATCCCCAGCAGTTGACTGAATGCATCTGTTTGTTTAAACTGGTTTCTGCCCAGGTCCCAAAGAAGAGGTCAGAGACTCCAGACACAGCAGGCACGAAGGCGCCAGTGAGACCCCATGCAGGTGGGGGTTCCAGCCTCAGGTGACGTGCTGGGGTAGCACCCAGGCAGGCCTCGAGGGCCCGGCCGCTCTTCCCGCCCCTGCTCCTTTGCTGTGTACAGGGGCTTCCCACCCAGGGCTGAGCCACTGCCCGGCCGGGGAAGCCACACCTGAGCTGGCACGTGCTGACTTGCTGTGCACATGCGTGTGGCCCCCTCACACTCAGGAAGGGCCCAGTGGGGCCTGGTCCTCTGTGAGAGGTCCCCCCCCCGCTTCCCCCACACCTGCCCACGCAGGCCACAGCTCAGACCACAACCCTCAGGCACTCTCTTTAATGCAAAACAGGTCTGAAATCTCGCCTGGCATTGAGGGATGATTTTACCTGAATCTTGAACAAACCTTAATAATTTACTTTTATCGAGCACTTTAAAGTTTGTGTTCTCCTAGAAGAGGAAATGAGATAGATGTACTATATGTAAGAAGCATGTCTGAAACCTTTTCTTGCTCCACGACAGATATTAGAACCTTTTTTTTTTTTTTTTTGATTCGGAGTCTCGCTCTGTCACCCAGGCTGGAGTGCAGTGGCACAATCTTGGCTCATTGCAACCTTCGCCTTCCGGGTTCAAGCGATTCTCTTGCCTCAGCCTCCTGAGTAGCTGGGGATACAGGTGCCTGCAACCACACCCGGCTAATTTTTTGGTATTTTTAGTAGAGATGGGGTTTCACCATGTTGGTCAGGCTGGTCTCCCAACTCCTGACCTTAGGTGATCCACCTGCCTCGGCCTCCCAAAGTGCTGGGGTTACAGGTGTGAGCCACCACACCTGGCCAGGACCTTCTTTAAAGTGAGAGTCATGGCTTTAAACACCACTGTGACACTCCGGGTCTAGATGCATTATAGACCGAGAGGGAGGAGCAGCATCGGGAGGCTCTGGGCAGGGAGGTTCTTTCTTGGAGAAGCCTGCCTCCCTCCAGCGGTGTGGGGCGTGGGGCTTACTGGAGGCCAAACGACTGGGTCCAGCTTCTCTAGTGCTGGCTGTGGGCCTCCTGGGAGCGGATTCCTGCCTGACTTGCCCCAGAGGGTGCCGAGGCACTTCCCAGCAAGGGTGGCAGGGGCCTGGCTCCTTCATACTCAAACAAGGCCCCGGGATTCCAGCCCTTTGGAGGGCCCTGCTGCCAGCTCTGGCCCTAGGCCAATGCCACCTGTACAGCTGGGGTTACCTCCTGTGACAGTGGATCGACAACTGGCCTTTGCCCAGCAGCCTGGTATGCTGCCCGGGGAGAGAGAGTTGCCTGTTGCCGTGTCCGGGCTGGGGCAAGGCTGCTTGGTGAGTGCCAAGGCCCGGCACCCGCGGATGACTCAGGCTGCTGGTAGCGCCCCTGCTGGGCCAGGTCTGTGGGAGGTGGGCAGGCCCCTGAGCTCAGCCCTGAGCCTGTGTGGCGGGTTCTGGCTCTTTCCAAGAGGTTACAAAACTCTTGAATTTGCCCCAGTTTGGGTGTAGGAGCATCACACACCACAGCTAATTAAATCCCAGAAGGAAAACATGCTTTACTGCATTTCCTACTGAGTCCAACAAGCCACAGGGAGTGCCATGGGCCCGGGGCCCGGCCCCACCCGAAGCCGCAGGCTCCCTCCTGGCTCTGAGGGGGCGATCTGAGAGTGGGCACACATGCCTGGTGGGGGTGTGGGCTTCTCTCCACCCTCTGGGGCAGGGCCTGGGACGTGATACCGCGGGCTGGCCTGGGTGCAGCATCCTGCAGCCCTGAGATGCTTCTGAAGGTCCCCGAGTCTCCGTGCTCCTTCCCTGGCTGTACTTGAGGCCCTGCCTGTCGTGAGGCTAGTTCAGCCCTGGGCGAGGCCTGCTGAGGTCCATCCAGGCCCAGAAGACCAGGGAGCAGTTTTGGGGTCTGGCCAAGGGCAGCAAATTGGCTTGAGTCCTCACCCTCCCTCCCCTGAGCCCCAGGAGTCAGTGCTGCCCCAGAGAGCTGCCCACCGTGCCGGGGCCTAGAGGGAGCCCTGTGGCCACACCAAGCTGGTCGGGGCTTGGCTCCCTGCCTCGCTTCAGGCCCCACGGGAGGCACACCAGGGCCTGGGAAGCTCCAATAATGGTTTTAATTTGTTGAACTTGTGTTTTATCCCATAAATTAGTCACTGTTTTATTTAACAGAATCAAGATATCCACAAACAATAGGCGAGTTCCAACTTGAACATTTTAATAAGACAGAAAAAAGTATATATTTTCGTGTCTGTTACAAACATATTTATGTAAATAGCCTGTGGGCCGCGTTCCAGGAGGAAAGAAGAAAGGGAGTGCCCGCGCACTGGGGCTGGGCTGGAGACGCACTTCTGCGGTGGGAAACGATACGGGCCTGGGTGCTGTGGGCGGAGGCCACTCCCCTGCTGTCCCTGGTCCCTCGTGCCTGGCCAGCTGGTGCCAGGCTCAGTGAGGGAGATGCGAAGTCTCTCTCCAGCCTCACGAAGTCTGCCTGTTTCCTCGTCATGAAAGTGGATGTGACAGCCCCATGGTTGGGGTGTGACAAAGACTCCTCAGCGTGGAAGAACGTGGCGGGCCCTGCACATGTCCTCTCCTCAAGGCCCCAGGAAGCTCCGGACGCCTGGAGGCCGGCTCAGGGCAGGGCTGCCAAAGGTGATTCCCATGATGTGGTGGTGTGAGAAGCCAGCCACCAGTTGGAAGTGTCAGGGAAAACTGTAGCGCCTGGGAGGCCTGCACGCCAAGCTAGGCCTGGTGGACACTCTGGCCACTGTGCTTCCAAGGGAGCCAACCATGGTGCCACCAGGGCTGGCAGCTCAGGCTCTGGGTCGGTGGCTACGAACGCAGGAATTAGCAGCCCCCTCTGGCTCTGCCACCCGGTGCTCCAGGCAGGAGCCGCGCCAGCATCCGGATTGGATCCGGGTACGCGCCGTTCCCAGCCTGGGCAGGTCCCTGCAGGAAGGAGGAAGGAGCCGAGGGAGGAGGCAGGAGGGTGGCCCTGCCAACACCGGCCCAGCAGCCCAGCAGGAGAGGAGAGGGCTGGCTGGGGTGGGTGTCCTGGGAGGCCACAAAGCCTTTGTCCTACTCCCCAGGCCTTAGTGTCAGATGGCTCTGCCTGAAGGCGGCTCCTGAACCCCAAGTGAGGGCTTCAGGCAAGGCTAGGGAGGCGGCCACCCTTCTGGCCAGACCCGGCCTGAGCTCCGTATCTCTGTCTCCAGTAGCCTGGAAGAACCTGGCCTCATGCCTAGGGACAAACTGGTCTGTTCCCCCCTTTTCCTGTCAGGGTCCAAGGGTTCCCAACTCCGCCCCCCTTACCCTACTGGTGTAGCTGGGTCATGGATGCTTTCAAAAATAAAAGATAACTTGATAGATTTTTTTTTTCCAGTTTTTATTGAGTGAAAATGTCAAACCTTGCATCAGTCATGCAAAAAAAAAAAAAAATCAAATAAATAAAACACATATATTAAATTTCTAATAGCACTAAATTCAAGTGGAAAAATATTCAGTTCTTAATAACCAGGTGCCGAGGAGACCAGATTCAAGTAATCAGAGCACACGCTGTTCAGTTCGGGTTTCACGTTCTGCATTTTTGTCTCAAAACCTCTCTCTATATCTCTGTATCTCTATATATGTATATACATATAGATATATACACACACATGTGCATACATGTTATTTTATATTTATATATATACACATACATAGTTATAAAACATTAAAAAGAGCATTGGTGGATCAAGCATTGTCTTCCCCACTGAAAGAAAATAAAACAAAAATTACACGTTAAAATTCAAAATGAGCTAGCAATGGCTTATAGTCCTAGTGTGCAATATGAAGGTTACAGAAGGCTAGACTTCGCACCATCGGCATCTTCTTTTTTTCTTCCTTTTTAGTTTGATTTTGCTACATTGAAAACGTGTGTGTGTGTGTGTGTGTGTGTGTGTGTGTCCTTTACAAAACTCCTTCCACAGGCGCCCAGGGCCTGTGGCGGGTCACGGTTTGGGCAGATGCTCACAGCAGCACGTGGTGTCCACAGAGTTCAGGAGGCTCTGGTAGGGGCTGTTTTAGAAACAATTGATTTCCTGTTGAATCAGGTACGCTCCGTCTGACCGCTCCTCCCTCCCCGTGCCCTGGCCAGTTCGGGTGGTCCCGGCTTACTGGCTGTGGGCAGCAGAGAGGACGAAAGAAAGGAAGAAAAAAGGGAAAGTCAACCACTGCCCCCCAGTTGAGCCGGGTTCCCCGCGGGGCTCTCTGGGGAGGAGGCCTCTGGGTGACGGCCTTCCCCCGGGGCCTCCATTCCCTGCTAGGCCTGTTCGCTCCCTCCCTGTGGCCCGATCTGACACTAGCTGGTGGCCTGGAGTAGGGGAGGTGGGCAGGTGTGGCCTCAGGTAGCCTGCCCTCAGAGGGGACCGGGTCCCTGGGGACCTCGGAGCCACGGGCCAGGTGTGCGCCTGCCAGGTCAGGCCCCGGCCTGGGCTCCGACAGCCTCATCATCTCCAGGCAGGGGGATGTTTTGCAAAGGGAACCAGATCTGCGTAGACTGCACCAGCAAAGAAGCATCCCAAACAAAGTAATAAAACAAACTGGAAAAAAAGCCCTAGAAAGCCACACACATCACCAATAGAGAACTCAAATGTTAAATTAACTACAGACTTGGATCAACAGTAAGAGTCCTTTCTTCTTGTCTCTATAAAATTCAAGTTAAGAGTTGGAATCACGCAGCTCCCATCAGTGCTAGTGTGAAGACAGACAGCCTCAAACTGTTAAGGCCTCTACAAAAAACGCTGGCCCGAATCCCACAGGGGGAACGGCGCTGACCTCCGACCCCAGGCCCCGCCGAGGCAGGCCCGCACTCACCACGCCTGCTTTCTTCCTTTTTGTTCTATGTAGAATAATAACCTTTACAGGAAAAATACTGTACAACTTTCTTGTATTTTTTTCCACTTTGAATATTAAAGCCAAAACCAGGCGCATCCTTCCCGTTTCCACCCCCAGGGTGGCCCAGACCCTGTCCCGGCCCCCAGCGGGCTGCTCTGGATTTTGGATGCAGCCTCCGTTTCCCTGGGGCGGAGGCCGGGGCCAGGGAGTCCCCACACAGACCCCACCCAGCCCTGGGGGAGCAGCCGGGCCCTGGGGTGGGGTGGGGCCCAGCTGGAGCTACCCCCAGGAGGCTTCCTCCGCGGTCCCTGTAGTGTCACCCGTGCTGACCGCCTTCTGCTCGTCTCCCCCTGGGCAGGGGGAGGATCCTAGCTGCATGAGGGAGGCCCCGCCAGCGGCTCCAGGGACCACCCCGCCCTGGTGGCGCGGGGCGGGGGTCCCGGTGGCCCCCAGCGCCCGTCCCAGTCCTGAGCAATGGTCGCGGGGTGGGGCGGCCGCGTGGAGGGGCGCCGGGGCGGCGGCCGAGGGCTGTGCCCCCTCGCCCGGGACCCCTGCTCCTCGGTCCCCTACCCCGGGACAAGAGCACCTTCTGTTTCCCTGAAGAGACCCGGCCTCCCTAGAGCAGGGCCGCCGCCGCCGCCTGTGTCCTCGGCCGCGGAGCACCAGAGGGGTCCCCGCCTCTGTCCTGAGACGGACTCGGGGTCCGGAAGCACCGGCGGGGCGCGGGGCTCTGCCCAGGGGGCGTTTCGCGCGGGGCGGCGCCGCTCCCGAGGCCGAGGCCGCCGCCAGGGCCACCCGCCGGCACCGCTAGGGCGAGGAGGCGGCGGCGGGCGCGGGGCCGGGGGCGCCCAGGGCCGCCAGCGCCGCCAGGGCCGGGGTCCGCGCGCCGGCGCCCGCCGCCTCCGCCGCCGCCGCCTCGGGCAGCGACTCCTCCGAGTCGGTGCGCAGGTCCTCGTCGTCCTCGTCGTCGTCGTCGTCCTCGTCGTCGTCCTCGTCGTCGTCCTCATCCTCGTCGTCCTCGGCCTCCTCCTCCGGCAGCTCCAGCTCCTCCTCCTCGTCCTCCTGCGAGGACTCCCCGGCGGCGGCGGCGGCGGTGCAGACGGCGGGGGCGCCCTCGCGCGGCCCGGGGGCGGCGGCGTCGGGCGGGCCGGGGTCGCCCGCGTCGCCCAGCGCCAGGCCCAGGCCGGCGGCCGCCGACTGCAGGAAGAGCAGCGAGCCCGGCTCCGCGCCCAGCGACAGGGATCCGTCCAGGCTGACGGGCGGCCCGGTGGCGGGGCCCTCGGCCGCGGGCTCGCCGCGCTCCTGCTTCTCGTGCTTGCGCTTGTGCGAGTCCATCTGCGACATGCCCACCACCGTGTGGCGGCAGCCCGGGAAGGTGCAGTGGAAGTGCGAGCACTTGAGCTTGTACTTGCAGTCGGGCACGGCGCAGTCGGCGCTGGAGCTGAACTGGCAGAAGCCCGCGGCGCTGATCACGTCCTGCTTGCCGTGGTGCTTCCGGTGGGCCGTGACCTTGGTGCTGTCGGTGCAGCGGAAGCGGCAGCGCAGGCAGTGGAAGTGCGTGCTGGTGCCCGAGAAGGGGCAGTCGGCGAAGTGGCAGCTGAGCGAGGCCTTGAAGCGCTTGAAGTCGTCCAGCACCAGGTTGTCCACGCGGTCGTGGTGCTGCGCATGCTTGTACATGTGCGTGCGCCCGCAGAACTTGTAGCCGCAGTTCTCGCGCGTGCAGTGGTAGTGGGTGACCTTGAGCGAGAACTGGCAGGCTGCATCCTTGCAGTCCTCGTAGAGGTCGAAGCGCCGGAAGCCCTCCAGCATCATGCCCTCGTCCAGCATCTTCCGGGAGGACGCCGTCTTCCGCCGCTTGCCGAAGGGCGACATGTCCTCGATGATCCAGAAGCGCTTCTTGGCTCCTGAGGCTGTTGGCATGGAGATGGTGTTCCCTGGGGAGGGGCGGGGAGGTCAGCGCAGAAGAGGTGCCCACGTGGGCACCATCCCAGGGTAACACCCACACGGGCCCCTGACCTGGCGCGGCGCCAGAGGGAGGCATTTAGGGAGCCCTCGGCTTCCCCTGGCTCGGGAGGCCTCTCTCGCCCCGCCCCCTCCCTACCCCCAGCACAGCAGGGGTCCCGGGCTTCCCCTCCTCATCCCCCACCGCACAGCCGTCTGCCCTGGGGTGGCAGCCTAACCAGCTCTGGGGTACGTGGTGGCGGCTTCCTGGCCAGTTTGGGTGGGAAGTGAGGACACGTCCTGGCGCTAATTGAAGCTGAAGGGGGAATCTGGGTCGGCAGAGTGCAATTACCCAAGTTGGACCTGGGCCAAGACGCCAGCTAGGCCTGCCTCTAATGAGGGACAGGCCGGCTCCTTTCCCGGCGGCTACCGGCTTCCCTGGCTGCGCCTGTTTGCACAGGGGGAGCTGCCTACTCGCAGTAGGGGTGCCAAGCGCCCCAGGGCTGTGCGGGCGTGGCAACTCCCTGCCCCAAGGAGAACCTTGTCCTTGGTACCAGAAGGTTCTTTAAGGTCTTGTTGGGGTTTTCTGCCCCAAGGGCTGGGAGAGCGAATCCCTGCTGCAGGACCAGGCCTCAGGGAGCTAAGTGCCTCTGTCCTCGGCTCAGAGGCTTTACCTGGGTCAGGGCCAGGGCAGGGGCTCAGCCAGGGGGAGCTGAGCCCATCTATGCCCAGCTGGCACAGACTGCTTCCCGGGATTTAGGATGTCCCCCTGCCAAGGCCAGGGTTGTAACCCTTTCTGGGAGGCACCTGTGCCCCTATGGCCAAGGGTGAGGGGAAGGAAGCTCCAGCTCCTGCCAGCGGTGTAGGCAGCTGGTCCTGGCTCCCCACGACACCCCCACAAACAACAAGAGAAGCTCTCTGACCAGCCCCACCAGAGCGGGGGTGGCCTCAGCGCCTCCCACATGGCTGACCTGCCCAGCTCTCCCAGAGCCTGCTGAGAAGGCCTGGCAGTCACTATGGCCACAAACGTCTGCCCTGCCCGTTTGAGGCCAGGCCCCGTCGCCCACCCTGAGTGGACAAAAATGGAGAGAAACTAAGGACTGTGACGGTGTGGGGGCACTCAGGCAGGGGACAAGGGGTGGCCTCAGGCACAAAACCTGGGTGGATCAGGAGCTGCTATGGGTCTGAAGTCGCAGGATGTGGTGATGCCAGAGCGGAGCTTCCGATGACCGGAAGTCCCTGAGGGTGGGAGGTTCAGCCCTGCCCCCGGCCATAACTCCTGGGGCCTGTGTTCAGGCTGAACGTGAGGCAAGACTCACCAGGGGAGTCGGAGCCCAGGTGGTGTCTACACTCAACAGATGGGGTGGGCAGATGCCATCTCCGTGGGTATCAGATATGGGGGTGGGATGGGAGGTGCCTCTGCCCTTAGCACTGCCGAGGCCTGAGTCCTCAGAGATTCCCACTTCCTGCTCAGCTTTGGGGGTGGGCTGGGTTTCAGGCTGGGATCTGGACCCTCTGAACCTGGGCAGGCCCCAGACCCCAGTACGCCTTCCCCAAAGCATCCTCTGCCTCTCCCTAGTGCCAGATCCCAGGGGGCCTCCTGAGAGTAGAAGGGACATGTCCTGCCTCGCCCCAGGCCAAGCGAGGCAGATCTCATAGGGCCTCTGGCAGGACTGGCCATCCATGGGCCTCTGAGGAGTTGTGAACAGGGAGAATCCCTGGCGGCAATGCTCTGGACTGCCCAGCGCTGAGCAGGAGCCACGAGGAGCTGTCTTTGTGACGGAGACCACACTGTCTAGTCTCAGAGGTGCTTGGCTGTGAGGGGTGCGGAGCAGTCCCATCCGTGGCTGGCTGGCTGCAGAAAAGGGCCAGGCCCCGGAGCGTGGTGTGAAGGGTGGGTTGGGGTGACAGACAGCAATGAGAAGGTGTGTGCGCATTACCTGCAGCATCCTGAACTAGGGGGACGTCACTTTTTACTGGAGTTGGAGTGGCAGTGATGGGCGGGAAGCTGGGCGGGCTGCAGGTGGGGTGGGCCAGGCCCCGGCTGGCTCCGAGAGTGGCACTGAGCAGAGAGTATGAGAGACAGGACGGAGAGAAGAGGCAGGGGAGGGGGGGGAGGGGCGGCCGAAGCGTGGCCGGCGAGAAGGATGGAGTCGCTGGCGGCTGCGGGGCCTCGCGGGCAGCCTCGTCACCAGCGGCCGCAGGAGGAGGAAGAGGAGGAGGAGGAGGAGCCGGGCAGCCTGGAGAGGGTGGAGAAAAGCAGAAAAAAAAAAAAAAAAAGAAACCAAAACAAAGAACAAACAGAAAGAACCAAAATGAGAAACCCGATGGCAGAAGCAGGTATGGCATGAAAATGTGTGCACGGATGAGAGAGAGAGGGACACAAGAAGAGGGGGCAGGAGGAGAGAGAGGCGGGGCGTGCCGGGGTCACGTGGGCAGGTGTGCCGGGCAGGGCCGGGTGGGAGGCAGCGGAGGAAGGAGGCTGGGGTGTGCTGCCCCCGCTGTGGCTCAGAGAGGATGGGCCCAGGGTCCTCTCCTGGAAACTGACACGAAGGGCAGTGCCAGGGAGGCGGGAGGATGGCGGGAGGGGCCTTGGTGACCCAGTGCCACAGACCAGCTGGCTCTGTTGCATGCCAGCCTGTCCTCCTTGGAGGCCATGTGCCCCGGACCTTCTGTCCCAAGCTGCACCCAGTGGGGCTAGGCTTTCGAAGTGGGGCCTGGCCCTGCCAGCAGACCCCGCCTGGCACTCA